TTGGTTGTGGTACCTTGCACAGCCATTTATATTACAAGGCTTCTTAGACAGGCATTTCGACGAACTATGTCCTTTGCGAAGACAATCAAAACACAGTTGACACATTTTTACCACTTCCCATCTTTCTGCTACACCTACCGTTTTAAAGACTTCACACCTTGCGATTGAATGGTTGCCGCCACAATGGAAACACTTCATGGGCTCTGCTGGGCTTTCATCTTGTATGTGCATCAAACGTCGGGGATTAGCTGACGACACATTATGCTTGTAAATATTTGTGTTGGCAGCCGGCATCAAACAAACAACTCTGGCTAAGTCACTAAGCCATGCAGAAAAATCTTTTATTGTGGGGTACCTATTCGATAAGTGCTGGTCACACTTCGCAGATTTCAAAAACGCTACCACGTTACGCACCTTGGTAGAAAATGTCACTATCTGCTCAGGCTTGTGCTCGGCTATAGTCGGGAGTTGTTGTAATTTACTAAGCTGCCATTTTACTAAAATGTCGGGCCTACCGAACCTAAACTCCAACTCGTTCAACACATTTGGCACGTCGTCAGGGTAAATTAACATTGATACCACTGCTTCTTTTGCTGGCCCCACCAAGCACTTTTGTAAACGCATTAAATTTTGTCGATTATTGTAGCTAAATGCCTGCGTAGTTTCATTAAAGTTGGCTACGAACAGATGCCACTCTTCGGCATTACCGCTAAAAGTTGGCAAGTCGTATAATTTTACCGCCAAATGTGTGGCTGGCACAACTGTGTCTTACCTCGCTTGGTGCTGGATGTACAGTTACATTTTCTTCACTTTGTGGTTGCATTTCTTCTCGTAGTCTCACGATATCCCTCAGGCTTTCCAGCGTACTGTTCCGCAACTCTTCAACTGATGCCCGCAAGGCATTTAAAGTCGCGATAATAGCGTTCACGTGGTCTTCACCCGCTGTGGCTGACCGTACTGAATCCTCCATTATCGTACTTTCAAACGATGACTCGATTACGCTGGCAACCCTTTCCACCACTCGGCTCCGTAGAAAATAACTATCCGACTCTCGTGACATGCACCCCTTATGCCGGGCAGACGTGTTAATAAGCTATAACTGTGCCGGTTTTCGTGCCAGAAACTATGCAACTCCAGATCTACACCATGGTGACACACCCGACAGTTGTAAAATTCAATCCTGTTCCTCAAAAACGTACCACAAATGTTGCAAACTCGATTTTGTTCTTCGCAGACGTACCAGCAAGTGTTGACTCGATTTTGTTCCTCGCAGACGTACCAGCAAGTGTTGAAAACTGTAGAAATTATAAGACGATTGGCGTAGATTGACGCTTGTTGTTGTTGTTGCGGCTACATGGACAAAGCCGTTAGGGTTGTCGGGTTTTCCGGGCATGCGAAGAGATGTTTCGAGTCATGTGGGGTCCCTCCGCATGCCGAACACTCATTTGGCACATCCTCATTCAATCTACTCAGGTATGAGTTTAACCTGCTGCAGTAGCCAGAGCGAAGTTGGGCTNTGTGCCTAGAACGGCATTCACAGGTCTAGAGTCTACATAACTTGAGACTGACTCCCTGTGAATGCCGTTCAGGGCCAGTCGGTAAGCTGACGGGTCCAGACGCTGCTTGACGAACCTCTGGACTTCGTCCGTCATTTCATATAGATCCCTCCAGACGTGCCTAGGCGAGGGCTCCTCTGCAAGCAGCTGTCTGTTC